GTTTGATGAGAATAGAAAATTCAACTCAGAAGACCTCTACATCAAAAGACAACTAAGAGATTAAGTATCTAAGAAGATAGAGCTTCTATATATAAAAGTTCAAGAATCATCAATGACTTCTATCAATCAATTGAAAGAGATTATAGATGCAGATATTGATGTTTTTTATCTTAAAGAAAATGCTCAAAGCTCTGAAAAAATAGAGGAGGAAAATAATAAGCATCTTTCTACACCAGATTCAACACCAGAGTCAACAGGTTTCAATATTGATATTAATACTCATTCAGCTGAGATAGATAATCAAACACAGAACATTGCATCTAGAGCTCATGATATCAGTGCTGACTTTGATAAAGTAAATATCATTAATAACTGCAGAATCTGAAAACACAGAGCTGCTCATCTTGTAACAGTTTCAAATATCAAAAACAATTCATTTCAAATGATCAATGAGACATTCTCTCAATCACACTCAGACTTCTATAAGTCTCAATATTTATTTTCAAATACTGTTTTCACAGTTATCAATAATACAGCTACATTAACAGTATTTATACTGACTTCAAGAATTTATAGATCTCAACTGTCAGATTCACTGAATCACTGAGCAGATATCAAAAAACACTCATATTATAAAGAATTTGAGAATACTGCTAAGCAGGAATGAAATAGTATATCTCTGTAGAACATATATGAAATTACTAGCAGATTACAGAGAGATATCTCAGTTATCTTTCTATAATAAGTATTTATCTACAAATTTAATGATGAAGGTTTTCTTTTGAAATACAAAGCTCACATCTATGTATATGAAGATCTTCAATCAATCACAGATCTCATTATAAAAGCTCATATACTAGCTGTCAGAGATCTCTGAATCTTGTTAGCTTTAACAGCAGTATTTAATCTAGATGCAGAATAGCTAGATGAAATCAATATCTTTATTAATAGTAATATTAATAAGCTAGTATATATGAAACTATCTGATAAATGATGAAAGTTGAAGAGAGTGTAAAATTTGAAGTGTATAAATTATATACTAAAACTTCTACAAGTACTATATAAATTATACAAATTATTTCTTCTCTGATTAAATGAACTATCTTTAATATTAAGAACACTAGACTTCATCTCTATATCAGAGAATTAATGTCTCTTTTCTAATGATTAATTGATCATCTTCTTTTATATGAATGATATCATCATTCTATTATAATGAGAAGATTTAAAAGAAAGAGATTAACTAATCAAAGATCTTAAAAACATCTACAAGATCTGATAGATGAGAGATTTGAAATAATTTATTATTATTATTATTATTATTATTATTATTATTCTTTAATTATAGATGTATACAGTTAGAGACTATGATATCTATCTGAGAATCTTTAGTTCTCAGAGTTTTTCCTATATCTATAGAGTCAACTATTATATACTTATCAATTTCAGATATGTAAAATCAGAAAATTCCAGCTCAGAATACAAAAACTGTTTATAAATTATAGTATTTTAACATCTATTAATACTTTGAAATCATTTGAAAATATCATGACAAAGGAAAAGAGAACATAGTCTTAAAGATAGATACATTAAATAAATAGCTACAGAACAAGACCTCTGCAGTTTACATCTTAAGCTATATACATATTTTAACACTCTATATAACTGACTATCATCTCTGTTCTCTCAGGCCTGCTTCAGAGATTATCATTCTCTCTAAAGAGCTGTCACTCAGCTAGCTTCTGTAACTAGCTTACTTATAAGTAAGATTCTCACTAAGAATAACATCAGAGCTACTCAATTCTAGTTAAGTCTCTAATCTTTCAACTGTCAATCTCAGTATTTCAGTCTATTAATTGACTGTCACAGTCTTGCTTACACTAATCACCTATTAAGAGCATCTAGGTCTTGTCTCACCTAGGTTCTTGCTAGGCTCAGAGTGTTCTAATCAGATAGTTTTTAAATCTCATTTCTCAGAAGTGAATGTCTAGAGTGAGAGAGATAAGATCTGATCAGTTAAGCTTAACAATGATTTACTATTCTGCAGACATTCTAGATCTCAATCACTCTAGTACTGATCTAACTTGAAGCATCTGAGAAGCTGTTAATTCTAAGATCAGTGAGAATTAGTGCCTGAGAACCCTCAGAATGAATATCTTAAGCTTGATGATAATTTACTATAGTGCATTCAAGAGTCTCTGATACTGTTTTATAACTTAACAGTGGAAGCTGTGATTAAGATGACTCTTACAGAGTTTGAACCTGCCCTCTCTTGACATTCATTCCCCGGGGGGAAGGCCGCTAATTGAGGCTTCATGGTAGTGTAGTTAACTACTACGCCACCGGGCCATTTGAAATGATTTCTCAACATGTAAATAATACACAATCATCTTAACTTGAAGCTCTGACTATGTCAGAATGTTTATATTAATAAGATAGTTGATATATATCATCTCACACATGTCTGTAAGACATATACCTCACTAACTGATACTCTGTTAGAGCCTTTTAATAAGTCAGTTATATTAGTAAAAATTCATTATTATTAACAATGTATCAGCTTCTATATCTACTTAGCAGTGATAACTCACTCTGATATTATATATGCAGTGAGTAAACTAGCTATATTTATAATAAATTTATCAGAACATCACATATCAGAGATAAATAGAATAATATTTTATTTACATAATATGAAGAATCTCACTATTTAATATAATGATAACATTGACAGATCTCTACAACTTAATCTCAAACCTGATATTATCAAAGTCATCAGTAATGTCTCTTTTACAGATAATTCAGATTATCACTCTATACAAGAATATATCTTCAAACTATTCAGTGAGACTGTTGATTGAAAATCAAATAGATAGATAATTATAACTATATTTATCACAGAAGCTGAGCTTGTTACTATCTCATAAGCTGATAAGAACTCTATCTAATGAGATAGATTCTTTTAATATATTCAATTTAAATCTGGTCATAAGATCTGTATTTAATGTGATAACTGTCAAACTGTTAACATTCTTATGAAGAAAGACTTCTCTATAACTATGAAGCTCTGTCATATTAATATATATGAAAGCTGACTCTGAGAATATGTTCAATTCAGTAATATTACAGTTGATTGAGTGTCTACAGCTCAGATGCCAGTGGATGACCTTACTAAGACTCTGTCATGCCAGAAACATACAGAATTTGTCAAGATGCTAGGTCTAGTTAATATATCAGATATTATTAAGATGTAAGCAGAATAAATAATCTATCTTGATATAATCTCTATAGATTCATCTACACTCTTTTTATTGCAGCTTCATTTACACTTTCATTTACACTTTTATTTACACTTTCATTTACATGTTACATTTGCTGAAGAGAGTGTGTCAGAAAAAAGAGATTATACACTACTGAACATCATTAACATCATATTACTACAATATTTCTCATCATCATCAGCTTACTACAATGCTTGTCTAATACTCACTTATGCTAGCTCTCTTGGCTCACACATATATTTTACTATAAATAGCTCTATCTTTTGTATGAAATAGATATATTAGATAGTGCATGGATAATATAACAAGCAGATCTTGATACACATAAGATTCATATGTCTCCAACATATTCATCCGTGACACTCATTCCGACACACTTCTTCCCCCTATACTCTGGGGATTCTTGGAACTTGACTAGGAACGCGATATTAATTCCTTCATATCTGTCAAGCCAGAATCTCATTGTTTTTGCCAAATTGTTCTAGCTCTCAGAAAACCCTACTTCAGCTACAGAGAAAGGGCTTGTGACTTTTAGCAGTTGGAGCATATGAGATCATGATATCTAGCACTTTTGTGGTAAACTCCGCTGGCTGGCTGTCAGGTGCATTGGTCTGAATCTCAAACAGCTTGACATGGTCTGGTACCCTGGATTCAATCACACGCCAAGTGGCTTTTAGAACATGGTGAACAGCACTCTCATGAAGGGATGATGCCGCGCGGTGGACAGATGTTTTCGAAAATTTTCTGTCAAAGAAAAGGTGGCCCGATGGCGCCGCCGGTCGTCCCTGGTATGATCAGCGAATATGGCCCCTAACAAAGAAAGAGGATGGAAAGAACATAACTCATTTTTCGAGGTATCAAATGTGTCAACAATCTTATGAAAAGTCACGCTGAGGGAGGTCGGTAAGATGGATGACTTCATCTGCACAGTTAGTAGGGAATCGACCGGCAAACAAATCATCTAATTGCTTGTGGGTAAGGTCCGATTCGCTGGTGAAAGTTCGTATCCAAGCTCGCGGCTTCATGGATCGATCATGTTTATCACGGCAGGATGCGTGGATCGTTGTCCCACTGCCACCAATAATCATACCAAATTTGTGCGGCAGTGCAAGGGGACAACTTACCACGGTGAGGGTTCAGACACAGGGCGAACGCCATCCTCGTTGCAGGAAGGACGGTTGTTACATAATTCTCTGAGATAAGAGGAGTGACGATTGATGGTTTGTGGCGCTTGAAGATTTTCCAATCTAGTTGTTGAATTACTTTAGCAAGGTGGCGAGGTCCTGGGCTCCAGCCCTATCCCACGAGACCCGCACCACCCTTAGGTATCCATGGATGTATCTTTAGCTGCCGCTAAGTTAGCTATTGTTATTAGTGTAACTACACAGTAAGGCCATTCATTGAGGCTTACACTGTAGAGCATCATCACATGATCAATCATGTGACCCACACATCTAATATCAGAAGAAGTTGATTCCAATCATGAATCCATCTTTTCATGCATTGCATGTCACATTAATAAACTTTAACTGTTTTTTTTTTTTTTTTTTTTTTTTTTTTTTTTCATAACAACATTTTTCAGAACAGCTTTATTATAAAATTTTATCTCAATTAATTTAAAAGCTTTTATTATACTTCTGTATTATTATTAAATACTTTAATTTCATTTTTTAAATTTAATAAATCTGAGATATAGTTATATTGTAGTAGAAATTTCTGTGATGATTCTTCTGTCTCTGTAAACACTTTTTCTGCTTAGTCACTGTTATTGTAACTTTCTATTGTATATAGAAGAATAAATACAATTATATTCTTTCTCTATAGATATTTATTATTCTTCATTTTCTTCATTTATAGTTTCAGTAATTTTTTACCATTAAAAATAATTCATATAAATAATTTTCCTTAATAAGTTCACCTGTAAATAGAAATTTTCTGCTCTATTCCAGTTTTCAATTCCATCAGACAATGCAGTTAAGTGAAGATTTTCTCTGTAGTATTGAAGAATGTGTTATTCATTCTTTATGTCTGTGGTATTTTGCTACATTCTACTTTGCATATTTGAATGAAGTTGTATTTCTTTCTGTTTATGTACTGTACTTGTGTTATCTTCCTTCTGAATTCTCCCATCCCATAGAATCACAGCCTCTATGGTGGATGGACTTCTCTTCCCAGTCAACTTTCGCTATTGAAGGATTTCGCCATGGCATCTCCCAAGAGTGAGGAGACAGAAGCGCGTTGGCTCCCTGAATTACCAGACGGCGCACATCAGCGTACTATCGACCCCAGGGGCGATCTGATTCTCGTTTCAAACTGTCCTGATACATGCCTCTTCAAAGTGTCATCAAATGTTCTCTGCTTGGCCTCTAAGGTCTTCCAAAATCTGCTCATATGCAATGAATCTCAGCGACCAGCTACTACCCTCGAAATAGGCATCGCTTTTACCACAGATGCCATAGAGATACTGCTTAGAATCATTCATCTTCAGATGAGGTGCATCCCGGAACGACTACCACGCATGCACCTGCTAGATATTGCACGCTTGGTTGACTGCTATGAAATGCAGGATTCTTTGGGCCCTTTTCTGGAGCTTTGGATCAATAATTCTTTCTACATAACTTACGCCATGGCCGACGAGGGGAGTGCCTTGGACTGGCTTTACATTATGTTCGTGTTTGATGAGCACTTTTATTTCACAATGGTAGCTTCGCACCTCATGTGGACTAGTACCGGGATTGATTTGGAAGATGCCCCTGAAGGCTTTCGGTCTGTTCTCGGTCAGTATGGAGGTTTTGTTGCCACCGTATCCCTCCCGAGCCTCTGTTATAGTAGGCGAAATTTATTTCCATAGCTAATATCGAAGCAGATGAGATTAGATGTGAACGTGACTTTTATCTCCAGTCGTGGCTAAATTCTATCCATAAGGATTATAAGGCCTACGTCGGTAGTTCTAAATGCCAAAACCGCACTTGTACGGCCCAGGAATTTGTCGTCGGTTACTTCACAAGGCTTTTGGAGAAATATCAACTTCTATGTCCTCCCCAGCCACCGTACAAGGGTGTCACATTGAACGCCGTGTCCAGAATTTTCATTGAATTTCGGGAAGGCCTGGAAGAAGCTCCCCCATGCCCTATGGGAAACCGTCATTATCGCGTTATGGAAGAGCGGCCACAGTCCAAAGACTGCAAGTTGTTCAAAATTGAAAATTTTAAGCCGTATCGGCCTCATGCCCTTATACCATTTTATGGCCCGTAGTACGCCATTCTTCTTGTTCTACGGAGGCTCCGGGTAATCAAATGCTGACATTTTTTATTTCATGGCTGATCCTGCTCCGGGCATCTTTCCTGTTTTCCTTCAGCACTGCAAACCTTGTCAATGTTTCAACACTTTGAATAAATCACCTGTTGTTCTCGTGCCGCATAGGTGCTGCTGCATTGATGTTTCTTCGGGCAAGCCACTGTAATGTTTGTTGATTTTGAGGTGTAATGTAATACTGTGTGTTTTTGTCCGTCCATAGCTAGTTAGGGTGCAATAAAGATGAGCTACTCTGGCAAAGATAATAGTCTTAATACTTAATATTCACTCATGGAGAAGAAAGTTGCCAATGCTTACAAATGTTGAGGTGCCACATTTATAATCACATTGGAGATGAATTTGTCTAGTCATGAATGAAACTAGAGATTTGAGTTAACTTACAAGTTAACTAGTTGAGCATGGTTAGACATAAAAGATGCATGTCAGCAGAGTATCAATGGCATAATTTCACAGCCTAATAAAACACTCAATACATGACAACATCGATTTGAACTATGAGATATTCAGTTGCAGTGTCTGTACTCTGTAGAACCTCCTTCTACTTTTTACTTTTTGTGTATAAGAATAGTGAATGTGAGTGCTGTATATTAAACCTGTGTATCACTATAAACGCACTTTCTTAAGTGATGAGATATTCAGTAACGTTACATGTACATATCCTACCCCCTATTTAACTCCGAGCTAATCGCTGCACCATCGATCCAAGTTCCAAACATCTCAATACGAGAGAGAGCCTGGGGTGTCAAAAGCGGATGTTAAATAGCGATGCAGTTCGCTTCCAGGTTATGATTAAACAATTTGTTAACGCACGGGTGGACTATCGCATCATCAACCAACCGCCATGCAGCCCGCTGAACTACGCCGACACAAAGAACGAGGCAGGTATGATGCCGAGTCCATCGGCTCCGTTTTCTCGGACACTTTTATGGCGCATGTCTCGTACGTCGACCATGGCCTGCCGCAATGTCTACCCATGATCGCGCTGTTTCGGTGCGAGGAGGAAGGGGAGGCAGTCTACCTACATGGCCACCCGAGCTCAAGGCTTATGGAGCTCGTGCGCGCGAATGAGGTGAAGAGGAAGGCTAGGATCGAGCGGGGAGAAATACCAGATGAAAGTGGAGATGATCGGATAAAAGTTTGCATTACGGCAACGAAAGGTTGGATATCTACCCAATCCCGACTCCAAAATGCTTATATATCGCTAACGAGTGAAAATCTAGTGGACGGGCTTTCCCTCTCCTCAGCTCCAAACGGGCATACGTTCAACTACCGTTCCGCCGTGGTGCATGGCGCATGTTCGCATCTCGGAGACCGCCGTGCGAAAGAAGATGTCATGCGCGGTATGATGGACCACATCGTAGCCGGGCGCTGGGAAGACCTCAACCCCCTCGCCTCCTTCGCGCTGTCATTGGTATTTGTGATACGCGTCCAGGTCCAGCGGGGCTCGATGAAACACCAGAGCGGGATTCCCATGATTCAGTCGCGAGATCGAGCGAAGGATGGACCAGATCGGCAGGAGCTTGTGTGGACTGGGGTGGTCCCGTTGTATGAACACTTGGGCGCGCCGGTGCCGAGCGGGTTGACAGATGATGCGCAGATACCTGAGGGGCTCTTGAAATATATCCGGGAGAGAAATGAGAAGCAGGAAGGGTATGCGAGATCTGCTGCGAAGTGACGAAGGATATGACAAATTTAGCAATAATGAAGCTTGTAGAACATTCCCCATGCTTACAACTGAAATTATAACGCCTAAAGTACAGAAAGGGTTCATCGAGAAGAGAAGAAGCCTTTTTCTCCCAAAGAAGTATCTGTAATGTACTGTACATGGGTTGTCAGTAAATGGCTTAGGATGTACAGTACAAAGGGGGGAGGGTCACGCCGCGCCTTCTAGGGAAACAGTAAGCCCAAGTACTAGTACAGGGGAGCACTGTTCCATAAACAGCTTTTGGACACCAGTTGGTTGGATCATGAATGAGTTCCAACTGCCATCACTCCCTCAGCACTATGATGTAGCCGCCCGTACTGGGGCCCTTTTTCCTCTCCATACTATGGAGTATGAAACCCAAGATGTGACGCTCGAGAATGTAGCCACCTACCATTTAGCTACTGGCAACACTAGTGACTATCACGAATCAAAACCTACCTTGAGAATCAACCGTTCTGATTTCTAAACATAGATAGATCAGAGTGATCGAGCGAGTAATTAGCCGTCGGCGGCAACTGAGACATGCCAAGGACAATGTTCCTAGTAAAATGAATCTATGAGATAGTGATGGAAGCAAACCTCGCAGTTATAAACTGCTTGTGATCCTTCCAGGACAAGATCTGATGGCTCTCTGCATTGTTAGCTTCGATTCCACATAAAATCCTTCTGCTTCTTATCTCGACTATCAAGTTCTCTATTATACCAAGGAACAACCATGGCCCGTGCTTTCTCTTCGACTGCTCGGACCCTTGTCAGATCGTTGGGCTATGATAAGGAGCTTCTCACGCCGGAGTTCCAGCAGGCACTAGATCTTATTCGGTCAATGGTGCTGTGAAGGTACACAACATTCTGAAACACTACTGAAATTCTGTACTCTAAACCTCTCTTAGAAAGTCGGCGAAATCGAATCTATCGAGATTTTGTCAGCACTCCTCCTCTCTTTCCTTTGCCTAGCCTACTAGGACGTGCTACTTACATCTGTTTACATGTAGGCACCGCAACGACGGCAGTAGCCCTGTCCATCCATCTCAATACCACCCTAATGATAAAGAGCTGATTATCAGCGCTCGGATCAAGCACCAATGGGCCGGCTCCAGCCCATCACATCTATGAGAACGGTACTGGCACCATCAGACTTGGTGGCGATAAACGCGAGTATTCGACGTCGGCCACACAGGGAGAACCCGTGACATGGTTGCTGAAGAGGGACCTCGGGAGTAGAACTTGGTTTACAGGGGCTAAGTTTGTTGGCGGCTATAGCGAGATGCCCCCTGTGGGGTCTCCTGTCGTTGTTCTTGCTGTGATGCCTTATGTGACTGGATCTTAAGTTCAAAATCAGATACGAGCTGGCATTTCCACATCACTTGGGGTTTTCTCACCTCTTGAACCCTCACTGAATAAACCAGTAGACCTCAAGGAACAAATAAAGAGAAAACATCCCCATACTCAGTTATCGGGGGGCTGTATCTTCGCCCAATACAAAGTACGGAGCCTTGTGGCTGGTCCACACCAAATACCTTCGAAGATACAGCAAGGACTAAACGAGTAAAATAGATAGTGCCTAGTTTCAATCACGCATGTACTCTCTCGTGTACATGTCCAAGTCACGGGTTCTCAAGGCTCGGATTTGTGATTTATTAGGTACAAGAGCTGAACCAAGGTCGGCATTTTCCTTTTCATGAATGCGCATGGATCCATTCATCTTGAACAAGTTCCTCCGCAGAGCTTCGCTTGCCTGGTTCCCACTGCACCATTTTCCGCATCAGACACAGAAACTTCTCCCTGTCCTCCGGTTGTTCCTTGAGGGTGGTTTCTCTCTCCTCGAGTGAAACTGGATGTTGCAAAGGGATTCCGGCGCAAAATTCACCTAAATAAGTTAGACAGAACAGAGAAAAGTTGAGAAGGGTGAAAGGGGATGTAAGTAGGAATGAAAAGGGGAGGGCAGAAAAGCAGTTTGCCTACCTTTCTCTGAAAAGAATTTGCTTGTCTGCCTACCCTGAGCAAGGAGGCTAGGCGGTGTCGGCCCAAGAAGGGCGATCATCTCAGCAAGATGTGCTCTACTTCGGTAGATCTGGAGTTCCGGATCATGTCCAGTAAAAAGAAACTCGCCTTCGAACATATCCCATGCCACACAGCCTGCGTTCCATATATCAACGCTGTATGACCATGGAATCTGGAGGATCACCTCTGGTGCTCGATAGAAGTTTGGTTGGATATCTTCCAAATGCTCGTCAATATCTCCAGGCATGGCTAAGCCAAAATCGCATAACACTGGGGGGGCAAAGTTCTTTGGCATTCTGAGTTGGCGGGACTCGCAGATGATGCGACCATCATCTAGTTCTTTCCGCGGACTGGGTGTTTGAAGCTCGCTTTCCTCAAAATGGGCGAAAACCGAATCATCAGCAATGCCGAGCATGATGTTGTCGGATTTGATGTCATAGTGGATAATCTTGCATTTAGAATGCAAAGAGTCTAGAGCTAAAAGGAGATACTTTAGTACGGCAGCCATGACTGGAACTGGTAGTCTGTGAATTGGGTTGCGGCGAAGAAAGGTCAAGACACTCTCCCATAGGGGAGGATGTACAAGGCATCTATGTTCATCCGTGGGCCCATTAACATCAAAAGAGTCGAGAAGCATCCCCACAGCTTTGCGACCAGGATGAGATTTTGAGCCTCGCTCCAGACATTTGTACATATTGAGCTCGCCATCTAATTGCTGGCCTATAGATGTAGATGTAATGAATATCTTGAGGGTAACATAATTACAGCGGCTGAAGATGGTTTTAGTTCAGGCATCTAACACAATGTTATTGGAGACTGGAAGGTCTTACTTCATGTCCCGCGCAAGCCACACCGTCGAAGTTGCTCCGTATCCAAGTTTACCAATGACTTGGTATCTCGCATTGAAGACCTCCCCAATGCGAGCGGGAGTACCGCGTAGCGACATAATCTGGGATTGTCTCTTCTTCAATTTTTTGAGCTAGTGGTATCCGGGGAAGTTCGAATTGGCAAAGCTTAGAGGCTTCCATCCTCCGAACCGGGGTAGGAAACGTAAAAGCGGGGGAAGCATTGATACAAATGCAGTAAAATCAAATATGACATGGATGATACAGATTTGAAGAGGCGATGCCGTTGGATTTGATGCTGATGATGTTGGCTGGCAAACCTTGGGGTGGTGGTCTAGCGCTAAGACCGTTAACTCTGTGATTAGAGATTTGGAAACTACGGCATAAGCATGGTAGTTAAGCGCGCGTTGTCCCAAATAGAGTTGGTTCGCCATAGGCTCGGCAGGGGCGGCTGTGAGATAATTTAATCTAATCAGATCGCCTAGTTAACTATTTATTTCAGTGCCAACCGTAACTAGCGGGGCGATAAGGGTTCTAATAGTTGCACGACTCTGGTGAACAACAACTTATACCATCTCTCCTCTACAGTTTGATTTTTTTTTAGTTGGCTAATTTACACTCTCGTTTTTATCCCCATGATGCTTTCCATTTGAACACGAACATTCTTGTCGTCCCCACTCGTTTCTGGTTAATTACTAACATTTTGTGAAAATGGCATCGGAATTTCCAGCTGGTCCTTCGCTCGTCATCGGGGTAGATGTTGGAGGAACAAATACTGACGCCGTCTTATTAGACACGAAAGATACCGGATCGAAGGCAGTAATTGCATGGAGCAAATCCCCCACGGCGGCAAACGTCACCCTGGGCGTCAGGAGGGTGCTAGAGGACCTTCTCCGTATGGCACCGCACAATGAGAAGAATATTGCCGCAGTGACGATTGGGACAACGCATTTCCTCAATGCAATTCTTGAACACGATGCATCAAGGCTGGAGAAAGTTGCTATTATTCGTCTTGCGTCTTACAATTTCTCCAACCAGACTCCTTCGTTCATCGACTGGCCTCCGGCACTAAAACGGATAATCAACGGCCATGCGGCAATTGTGCCTGGGGGCTGTAACATTGATGGGACGCGCATTACTGATATTGACACAGCGTCAATTGCAGAACAGGCTCAGATTATTCGCTCTAAGAACCTGAGAAATGTTGTCGTTGCCGGTATCGGGTCTCCAATGGATACGAAATATAGACAAGAAGCGCAAGTTCGGGAAATCCTCCAAACCAACCTAGGCGAAGATGTCAATATTGTCTGCTCTCATGAGATTTCTGGGAGCGGGTTGTTGGCCCGGGAGAATACGGCGATTCTTAATGCATCTATTATTAACTTCGCACGGAGAACGATCCGCGGGTTTATGCAAGCTATGTCGCAACTGGGACTTAGGTGTCCGTTATACCTTACAGCTAACACCGGTCATCTACTCTCTTTTACAGAGGCGGTTCAGTTCCCGATTCGAATTTTCTCATCGGGAGCAACAAATTCTATCCGTGGTGCTGCGTACTTGGCAGGGCAATCCTTGAAAGACAGCAGCGGAGCTGTGGTGGTTGATGTGGGCGGCACAACAACGGATGTGGGTTTCCTTCTACGGAATGGTTACCCAAAGCTCGCCAGCTCACACACAGAAGTTGCCGGAATCAAAGTCAATCTTGAAGTTCTGCAAGTTGAGAGTATTGGGCTTGGGGGAGGCTCATTGGTACGCACCAGCCCGGACGGAGCAAAAGTGTTTGTGGGACCGGGCAGTGTCGGGCATGAGATCACTACCAAAGCGCTCTGTTTTGGAGGCACAATACCAACAGCCACGGACGTTGCTGTTCTGTCTGGTGCAGCTATTGGCACGACCAAACCTGTTCTCCCAGAAACGACAGTTGACAAGGCGAGAGCCTGTATAAAGGCAATGCTAGAAAACCTCATCGACAGAGTGAAAACCTCAGCAGATCCATGCACCGTGATCCTAGTTGGCGGAGGGGCCGTGTTATGTCCGCAACGTTTAGCAGGGGTTAGTAAAACAGTCATCCCTGAGTTCGCAGAGGTGGCGAATGCAATTGGTGCTGCTATCGCTCAGATAGGCGGCAGAGCTGAAAAGATGACCGACAGTGCCTCTGTGGAGTTAGTTAAGGCTGAGGTGAAAGCTGCTGCTCTTGCCGACGCTGAGTCGCGGGGTGCTGACATATCCGGGGCTGTGGTTACCAAGGACGAGGTCGTGGGTGTCCCCTATATGGAAAATGCAAAGCAGGTTCTGATCGAGGTCGCCTGCCCAGCAAATCATGTACGATTCTACTCCTCCTATAAGAAGAGCATGTCAGAGCTCCCGACTACCGAAAGTGTGCCTGGATATGAGGAAACAAAAGCCATCGACAACGACATAGGGTCAGACGGTATAGCAGAGTCAGCGATTGACATTTCCAAATATAGACCTACTATTGACCCTTCTGGAAAATGGCTCCTGTCTAAAATTGATGTTCAATTCATATCCATCGGATGCTATATTCTCGGTTGCGGTGGCGGCGGCTCCCCATATTCGACATATCTCGAAGTCGTCAACCTAGTGGAGGAAGGAAGAACAATAGCTATAGTCGAAGCTTCATCGCTTGATCCGGATGCGGTTCTCGTCCCCGTTGGTGCAGTTGGATCCCCAGCTGTTGCAGATGAGAGACCTGGTGGAGACCTGGTGCTGCATGCCTTGCAAACAATGGAAAAGGAGCTGGGGACGAAATATGACAGCATTTTGGCTGTGGAGATTGGAGGGAGCAATGGGCTACAGCCGCTTATATGGGGCTCGTCGAAGTATTACAATCTACCTTGTGTCGATGGCGATCTGATGGGTAGGGAGCTTCATTTACACTTTTTGTTTTTTTTTTAACCTGCGCTCTCGCTTTTTCCACCTGCTGATAACGTGGAAATATAGGGAGGGCATACCCTAATTTCGAGAAGATGACAAGCTTCATTGACTCAACGGATATAAACAAACTACTCCCCGTGGCGTTATCCAGTGGCACAGGCAGGAATATAATCATCCCGCCTACTCAACCAGATGTTCAGGCAGCAGATTATGCAATACGGTCTACATGTGTTGAAATGGGGTACGAGGTTCCCCCATTACCCATCTATATGTTATTCCTATCTTTGCCCAAACGCTTCCATCATTGGGGATCTTAAATCTAACCGTACCCTTCTTCCTAGTTCCGCCGCTGGTGCCACCGGAGTCCCCATAAGCGGTTCAGACATGCGCCGTTTCGGTATCCTTAACACCCACTCCCTAGCATGGCGACTTGGTCGCGCAGTCTCCCTGGCGAAACAGGGAGGCCATCTGTTCTCGGTGGCAGATGAGATAATCCGCGAGTTTGGCGGCGCGCCGAGTGCCAAGGTGATATTCCGCGGCAAGATCATCAGCGTTGAGCATAGCTTGTCTGCCACTGCTCATACGACTGGGAAAGTGGTTCTGCAGCAATTGTCGGCCGATGAGCTGGGGGTGGATGGGGCGGGGTTGTCGAACGGGCCTGAGAGGGTAGTTGTTGAGTTTGTCAATGAGAACCTGAGCGCGAGGGGAATTTATTACGACGGATCTGAGGAGGTGAGTATTTTCCCACGTTTTATTGCTATATATATTCCCATATCTCATTAACTAACTATTACAAGTACCTCGCCGTCGTTCCGGATTTGATCATGCTCCTTGACATGGATACAGGCGAAGCAGTAGGAACTCCAGAGTATAGGTAGGTTGAAATAAACTTCACCATCTCCCCCGAACGGAACTTCTAACCCTTTATATTACCTTTAGGTATGGCCTCAAGATCATTCTCATGGTAGCCGCCCCGCACCCGCTCTGGACAACCGAACGAGGACTCGAGATTGGAGGTCCGCCTGCCTTTGGGCTAAACATCAAATACAAACCTGACCTTCAATACGTAAAGCCCAAAAGTGTAATTGAAGAGTATAGGCATGTTAGATGTGACGAGTTCAACTTAGCCTACACTACGGGTGCATGAGTTCAGGGGCCTTTGTATTTTAAGTTAATCCCTAATCCCTTATTTTGAATGATTTGATTAGATAAGGGGCAAAGATTAGCTAAATATAGAATAGAATAACCTAACGCCGTAAATCGAAATATCTTCAAGTGGAAGTTAGTATCTATTTTCGGGGCACTGCCAACAATTTCTGACGTCATTATTCCCTCTCTAACTAAGTTATGTAGTTATCTAATCGTCCAACACAGCATTTCACGAAGCAATCTCCATTCATTCTGTCTATTTCACGGTCTCTCTTTCATATACCAGCTATTCATACACGTAAACGAAAACTCAGTTATGCCTCGTGCCACAGCAACGATCGGAGACACCGTCCTTGCCGAGACGGATAAGTGGGAGAACGTCGAGGGGAACGTCTATGTAAGCAAAGATTCTTTCTACCCCTATTACTCTCAAGGAACTTACAGTTTGATACTAAAATAATTGATATGCATAGTTCCCCCGCTCCTCCCTAAAAGATTCCACGGGGACATTTACGCTGATAAAATCCGACGCATCGACTTTCTGCCCTTGGAAGGGGACTGCGTTGTACTATGGTATTGCTCTGCAGGGTGTGTACATGTCTCATGCATGCCATATATTTTACACGAATGTATATCGGAAATAAGAGAGATAGAGAGAGAGAGATAGAAGGCTGATACAACCAAAAATATAACAATCAATGTGTCACACAGAGTCAGGTACTGTCATCTCTGATGTAGCATGGTACTACCCGGAGCCGTCCGAGGCGGCGCAGAATATCAGGGATCATGTTGCTTTTTGTGAGTTGTGGATTCTTTTTTCTTCTTCTATTCTTATATTCTATATAAGAGTGTTATGCCTTTTCAGGCTATCAAGAAGTTGTGTCTCATTTCTTTGTGACTTGCGATGCAGATAAGACGAAGGTCCGCGTCGTTGTTGAGTAGCAAAGCGGTCGACTGGGCTGGGTCATTTGGCGTGGCGTAAGGAGGGATGGTATTTTGCACGGCAATATGAGATATGGGACATTGAGAGCGTTGTTCTCTTATTTGGGGCCAGAGT